AAATCTTTTAAATCTTTGTCAGTGTTACACATGGTTGGGAAAGTATTGTATAGCATTATTTCTAGACAAAATATATAAAAGAAAATTATACATTTTGGAAGGATTTTTAAAATGAGGTAATTCCTATAAATTCTTTAGCACTTTATCAGGAATGCAGAAAATGGTTAATAGATTCTAAGTTTAAAAATTTAATATATGAGTCACCAACTATTTTTATATTTCTGTATTAACCAAATTGAAACTGATAGTTTAAAGGAGATTAAGACTTTTAAAAAAGCTTTTAAAGTCAGAGAAAATGTAATAAGAAATATTTGACATAATAAACTGCTGGGAAAAATTTTATGAGAAATTGTAGAAGAAGAGATATTGACAAAATATTTAGAAGCAACTAAGAAAGATTATTAACATAGGGAAAACAATACAAATTGTTCTCTTACGATTATGTGAAAAAAAAACCCTATAAAATGCTAATAAGGGATCATTCTAAAAGCAAAAAAGACAATAGAAAAGAGGCAAATTATTTGGAATTAAAAATTATTTTAGGGCAAAAGAAGCTTACGAAGGCCTATAAAACAGCCAGAAGAAGGCTTTTGATAATAAAATTGAGTCACAGTGATAGTGAAAAAGTGAATGAGGAATCAGATTTCAAATAGAACCAAATAAACCAAATAGAATATATATATACACACACACACGGTATACATATGTATATATATGGTAGTAGGAATTTATTATATAGGTTTACTCAGAATGTTTAACATAAGTGAAGAAAGTATGAGTGAATTCAAAGATAGATGTGATTAACTGATCCAGAATGCAGCCCAGTAATTGAACACATAAAAGCATTAAAATTCATGGAAAGAAAAGTTTAAACATAGATGTGATTGGAGATTTAGAAAGACTTTTTTATATATTAAATTTAATATAATTCTGGTTAATGTGCAAATTGGTTACTTGGAGGGAACTTGACATATTATAAAATTTCACATTTGCATCACTGGTTTCCAGCAATTCAACTCCTAGGTATATAACTGTATTAGTCTGTTATCAGATGGCTGATAAAGGTATCCTTGAGACTGGGCAATTTACAAAAGAAAGAGGTTTAATTGGACTTATAGTCCACGTGGCTAGGGAAGCCTCACAATCGTGGCAGAAAGCAAGGAGGAGCAAGTCACATCTTACATGGATGACAGCAGGCAAAGAGAGAGAGTTTGTGCAGGGGAACTCCTCTTCTTAAAACCATCAGATCTTGAGAGACTTATTCACTATCACAAGAACAGCATGGGAAAGACCTGCCCTCATAATACAATTACCTCCCATTGGGTCCCTCATACAACACGTGGGAATTCAAGATGAGATTTGGATGGGGACACAGCCAAACCATATCATTCTACCCCGGCCCCTCCAACATCTCCTGTCCTCATATTTCAAAACCAATCATGTTTTCCCAACAGTCTCCCAAAGACTTAACTCATTTCAACATTAACTCAAAAGTCCACAGTGCAAAACCTCATCCAAGACAAGGAAATCTCTTCCACCTATGAGCCCATAAAATCAAAAGCAAGTTAGTTACTTCCTAGATACAGTTGGGGTACAGGCTTTGGGTAAATACAGCCAATCCAACTGGGAGATATTGCCCAACATAAAGGGGCTACAGACCTCATGCAAGTCTAAAATCCAGTGGGACAGTTAAATCTTAAAACCCCAAAATAATCTCCTTTGATTCTATAACTCACATCCAGGTCAGGCTCATGCAAGAGGTAGGTTCCCATGGTCGTGGGCAGCTCTGCCCTTGTGGCTTTGCAGGGTACAGCCTCCCTCCCAGCTGCTTTCACAGGCTGGCATAGAGTATCTGCAGCTTTTCCAGGTGCACAGTGCAAGCTGTCAGTGAATCTACCATTCTGGGGTCTGGAGGATTGTGGCCCTCTTCTCACAGCTCCATTAGGCAGTGCCCCAGTAGGGACTCTGCATGGGGCCTCTGATCCCGTATTTTCCTTCCTCACTGCCCTAGCAGAGGTTTTCCATGAAAGCCTCTGCAGCAAACTTCTGCCTGGACATCCAGGAGTTTTCACATATCTTCTGAAATCTAGGTGGAGGTTCCCAAACCCCAGTTCTTGACTTCTGTGCACTCACAGGCTCAACACCACGTGCAAGCTGCCAAGTCTTGGGGCTTGCACCTTCTGAAGCCACGGTCTTAGCTCTACATTGGCCCCTTTCAGCTGTGGCTGGAGCTCATGGGATGCAGGGCACCAAGTCCCTAGCCTGCACACAGCATGAGGACCCCGGGCCTGGCCCAGGAAATCACATTTTTCTCCTAGGCCCTTAGGCCTGTGAGGAGAGGGGCTGCCATGGACATCTCAGACATGCCCTGGAGACATTTTCCACATCATCTTTCGGATTAACATTCGACTCCTCATTACGTACGTAATTTTCTGCAGCCAGCTTGAATTTATCCTCAGAAAATGGGATTTTCTTTTCTATTGCATTGTCAGGCTGCAAATTTTCCAAACTTTTATGTTCTGCTTCCCTTATAAAACAGAATGTCTTTAACAGCACCCAACTCACTTCTTGAATGCTTTACTGCTTAGAAATTTCCTCTGCCAGATATCCTAAATCATCTCTCTCAAGTTCAAAGTTCCAAAAATTTCTAGGGCAGGGCAAAATGCTACCAGTCTCTTTGCTAAAACATAACAAGAGTTACATTTGCTCAAGGTCCGAACAAGTTCCTCATTTCCATCTGAGAGCCCCTCAGCCTGGACCTTATTATCCATATCACTATCAACATTTTGGGCAAAGCCATTCAACAAGTATCTAGGAAGTTCTAAGCTTTTCTACATTTTTATGTCTTCTTCTGAGCCCTCCAAACTGTTCCAATCTCTGCCTGTTACCCAGCGCCAAAGTTGCTTCCACATATTTTGGTATTTATTCAGCAATGTCTCACTTTACTGATACCAATTTACTGTATTAATTTATTTTCCCTTTCCTGATAAAGGCATTCCAGAGACTAGACAATTGACAAAAGAAAGAGATTTAATTGGACTTACAGTTCCCCATGGCTGAGAATGCCTTACAATCACGGAGGAAGGCAAGGAGAAGCAAGTCACATCTTACATGGATGGCAGCAAGCAAAGAGAAAGAGCTTGTGCGGGGTAACTCCTCTGTTTAAAACAATCAGATCTCATGTGACTTATTCACTGTCATGAGAACAGCACAGGAAAGACTTGCCCCTATGATACAATTATCTCCCACAGAGTCCCTCCCATAACATGTGGGAATTTAAGATGAGATTTGGATGGGGACACAGCCAAGTCATATCAGTAACCTAGGGGAAACCTTTCACATACGCTAGAGGACATACAGGAGTATATTCATTGAACAAGCAAGAGAAAAATCAACCCAAACTTTATCACTATTATAAATAATAAATTGTAATATTTAGAAGCAATGGATTATTATATAGCAGTGAAAATAAATGACTACAGCTACATTTGATGCGAAGAATAAATTTCCAAAGGATGTTAGGCAAAAAGCAAAATCTAAGAATATATACACAGTATTAATTCATTTATACAAATTAAGTATAGGCAATATTAAATAGTATATTGTTTAGATATACATAGTTATATAACAAGTCTATAAGAAAAAAGGAAATTGTTATGAAATTTCAGACAGTAGTTATGTTTGGGAAGAAAGAAGATGTAACGAGATTGCAGAAGGAGGAAAAATACACTGACTTGGGTGTTGATATCTAAGAAAAATTAGAGTTCTATTTCTTAATTCACAGGGCAACAACAGTGTTCACGTTAGCATTTTTATTTAAGAATAACATAGAGTCTTCATATGTGTTTTTTGCATGACATGTTTCACCATTAAAAAGGTTGAAAGTGAAATTATGTGTGCAAACAATGAAACATTTTTGAAAATGGCTTACTTATTTTGTTTGATAATACAAAAGCTATGTAAAATATAGACCCATATTTTAAAATAAAACATGAACTGTGATCATCAAATAAGATATTTGTTATGGACTGAATTGCCTTCCCTTAAAATTCATATGTAAAAGCCTAACCCTTAACGTGACTATGTTCAGAAACAGGGACTTTAATTAAGGTCAACAATGTCAAAATTGTGGGGCACTAATGCAATAGTACTGTTTTCCTTATAAGAAAAGGAAGAAACATCAGAGAGTGTGCTCAATCTCCCCCACACCCGCATAAAGAGAAAAAGGCCATGCGAGGACTCAATGAGAAGGCAATCCAGGAAGAGAAGCCTCGCCAGAAACCAACCCTGATGGCACCTTGATCTAGGACTTCTGATCTCCAGAACTGTAAGAAAATTAATATCTGGTTTTTAAGGCACCAGTCTGTAATATTTTGTTATTTAACCCCTAGGAGACTAATAACAACATTATATATAAAATCTGTTTGAAAAGTGTAACTTGTTTTATAAATGATATTGCCATTATTACTGGAATTGCTAATACTGGAAGTATTATTAATAGCCCTCAATTCACCACCTGATTTCAAGAGCAAAATAAACACATAGTGTGCACTATCTCTGTGCTATTAATGCTGATTAAAATAGCTACACCATCTACAGATCATAAAATTCTGTCCTTATACCTTTAAAATAGAATAAATCTGAGCTAATACATTGAGAAAGAGGAAGAGAAAAACACAGGATATGCTTACTAACTGTGACAAATAAAGCATTATTTAATGACCTTGGTCACTTTTTCTTTATTCTTACTTTCAATTACTTACATGCCTTTAAAGTCTACCCAGTACTACTCATCTCTTGTTTTGCTACCCTAAATATTTTTTAAAAATAATATTTCCTTATAAATCGCAACTTAGAACAAATTATCCTGTCCTTCAAAAATCTTATTTCAGAATTCCCTCTCTTGACCATAATGATTAACTAAAACTGAACTAGCCTCATAAATAGCTAGAAAACTGAACAAAATAAATGAAAAATAAACTCTGCCCAGAAATATTCACCCATAAACATAATCAACTATATCAAGGAAGTGTCACCGGAGGGTCCTGGCTCCCAGAGCTCCCAAGATGGTGGTGGGCCACTTCCAAAATGGCAGCGGGCCACTTCCAAGATGGTGGCAAGCCTCATGTTCCCTGACCTGGGGTTCTTGGCCTCACAGATTCCAAGGAATGGAATCTTGGGCCACACGGTGAGTGTTATATAGCTCTATTAGAAGCTGTGGGTCACAGAAGAGAACCGTGGAACCCAGTGACTAGTGTTCTAGTGTTCAGCTTGATTAGGATGAACCCTGGCACTTAGCCATGAAGGAACAATGGCAGGCCTTTAGCCCAATCGGGAGTGGCAATGGGCACCTCCCTGGATCAGGAGCACAGCGGACACCCTGCGGTATCTGGAGAGATGGAAGTCAGCAGCGGGTCTGCGACATGGCAAACAGCAGTGTTGGATGGCAAGAGAAAGCTCAGCTCCAGTGGTAACAAAACACGACCAGAAGAGTGCAGTTGCAAGATTTAATAGAGTGAAACAGAGTGAAAACAGAGCTCCCATATAAGAGGAGGGGACCCAAAGGGGGTTGCCATTGCCCGCTCCAATCCCTGGGTTTATATCCTGATCTTTATCCCTCCACTGTGCTCTCAGGCAATAGATGATTGGCTATTTCTTCACCTCCTGTTTTTGTCTAATTAGCATTTTAGTGAGTTCTCTGATTGGTCGGGTGTGGGCTAAGTTGCAAGCCCCAAGTTTAAAAGTGGATGCAGTCACCTTCCCAGCTAGGCTTAGGGATTCTTAGTTGGCCTAGGAAATCCAGCTAGTCCTGTCTCTCAGAAAGTGCAGAAGAAATAATAGAGAAAACATAGTCTTTTCAACAAGTGGGGATGGAATAACTGACATTCACGTCCAAAAATTTGAATCTTAACACAAACCTTACACACTTCACAAAAATTAACTCAAAACAGATCACAGGTCTGAATGTAAAACAGAAAACTATGAAACTTATAGAAGATAACACAGGACAAAGTCTAGATGACCAAGGGTTTAGATACAACCAAAGGCATAATACATGAAAAACAGAATTAATAAGCTGGACTTTACTAAAATTAAACATTTCTGTTCTAATAAAGACAATGTAAAGGGAGTTTCTAAAAAGTCACAAAATAGAATAAAATATTTGTAAGAGTCATGTCAGTAAAGGATTGTTATGCAAAATGTACAAAAAGTTGTTAAAACTCAACAATAAGAAAACAAACAACCTGATTTAAAAAATGGCCCAAGGGCTTGAACAGATATCTCATCAAATAAGCATATAAAAAGCTTATGAGAACATGCTCCCCATTATATGTTATCATGGAAATGTAAATTAAAATGACATGAGGTACCACTACTTGCCTATTAGAATGGCCAAAATCCAGAGCACTGACACCATCAAACGCTGGGGAGGATGTGAAACCAACAGAATCTGATGAAAATTTGAAATGGTATAGCCACTTTGAGAGAAGGTTGGCAGTCTCTAGCAAAACTAAACGTATCTTATGATTCAGCAATCATACTTGGTAATTACTCAAAGGAGTTGAAAATACATATCCAGACAAAAAACTACACACAGATGTTTACAGCAACTGTGTTTATAATTGCTAAAATGTAGAAGCAAACATGTCCTTCAATAGGGAAATAGATAGATAAACTAGGTAAATCTAAACAATGGAATATGACTCACGCTAAATGGAAATGAACTATCAAGCCATAAAACAATATGCAGGAAACTTAAATGCATATTACTAAGAGAAACAAACCAATGCTATATAGCATATGATTCTAACTATATGACACTCTGGAAAAGGCAAAAAAAAAATGAAGACAATAAAAAGACCAGTGTTTACCAGGGGTTAGAAGGGAGGGAGGGTAAACAGGCAGAGCACAGAGGATTTTTAGGGTAGTGAAACTATTCTGCATGATACTTTAATGGTGGATGCATGCCATGATACATTTTACAAAACCTACAGTACATACAACACCAAGAGTGAGCCACAGACTTTGAACTTGAGGTGATAATGATGTGTTCATTGTAGGTTCCTCAATTGTAGCAAATGGTCCACTGTAGTGGGAGATAATGCAAACAGGGGCAGGGTCGAGGAGAGGCTATGCATGTGGGAGGGCAGGGAGTATATGGAGAATCTCTGTACTCTCTGCTGCATTTTTCTGTGAACCTAAAACTGCTCTAGAAAATAAAGTATATATTAAAAAAAAAAAAAAATAGACAAGAGACGGCACAGGACTTTGAGTCCTGAGAGCAAAAAACAAATAAAGTAAACCCTACAATTGTCCAATTTTTTGATTGAATAATTTTTTCTTTTTCCTTTTTTTTTTTTTTTGAGACAGAGTCTTGTTCTTGTCACCCAAGCTGGAATAGTGGTGCAATCTCAGTTCCCTTCAATCTCCACCTCCTGGGTTCAAGCAATTCTCCTGCCTCAGCCTCTCAAGTAGCTGTGACTACAGGCACCCACCACCATGCCCAGCTGTTTTTTTGTATTTTCAGTAGAGATGGGGTTTCACCATGTTGGCCAGACTGGTCTCGAACTCCTGACTTCAGGTGATTCACCTGCCTCAGCCTCCCAAAGTGCTGAGATTACAGGAGTGAGTCACCGCGCATGGCCTGAATGATTTTTTCAAAGCACAGACAGGAAGGGAATTCACACAACCGTGATGGTCTTGCTAAATTGAAGGGATGAAGACTAGAGTTTAGATAAACTCAAGCAGATAGAATATACGGCAAAATATTTGTCAGAAGGTACATTCACAGTGGAAGAATGACTAAATCTGCATAGATATTCCCTTGACTTGTGGCCAATATTTGGAAATGTACATATGAAGGCTAGACTCTGTGCTCAGAAAAAGAAACTATCAAGAAAACAATGACCAAGAATCTCTAGCAACATTTCCTAGAGCTTCCAAAGTATTGAAAAATGTTAGAGACCTGACAAAACAGATTGGAGAAACCTTGTTAAATACCTGGGACATTTAGTAGAGAGTCCAAAAATTCCTTTCTTCTAAGAAGAGAACTAATCTCCCTTAGGGGAAAGCTATTTTAGAGTTGTCCCATTAGTGCAAATACGCATGCACACACACACACACACACACACACACACCAGACACTCACACACACATCATCATCATCATCATCATCATCATCATCATCATCATCATCGCTCTAATACAAAAGTAAATTAATACTTGCCAGGAAAACCAACATTCCACATCCTTTAAAAGAAGATAATGAAATCGAAACATTAAATATTGCAGTATAAACAATGTCCAGCAACCAATATCACATGCAAGTGCTATGAACTGAAAGTCTATGTGCCCTCCCCCACTTTATATGTTGAAACCCTAATCCTCAATGGGATGATATTAGTAGGTAGAGCCTTTGCAAGGTAATTGATCATAAAGGTGGAGCTCTCATGATGAGATTAGTGCCTTTCTAAGAAGAGACATAAGAGAGCTTGTCTTTTCTCTGTCTCTCTGTATGTGTGTGTATGTGGCATGCATGTCTTTTTCTCACTATGGACATGTGATGAAACAGCAAGAAAGTGCCCGCATGAGAAAACCAGAAAGAAAGGCCACAGGAGAACATGACCATGCTGACACCCTGATGTACTTTCCAGCCTCCAGAACTGTGAGAAATAAATGTTTAAGCCATCTAGTCTATGGTGTTTTGTTTTAACAGCCCGAACTGACTAAAACAGAAGTGCAAGAAAGCAGAAATCTTGATCTAAAATTAGAAGGAAAAAGACAAATAGAAAAAAAGAAAAGAAAGAGACACTCATAGCTAACTACCATGAACATATTTAAGATATTAAAGAAAAACATTAGCATAATGAATGGAAATGTGGGAACTATAAAATATTAGAATTTCAACAACTGAAAAAATACATATCTGAGAAGAAAAACTTATTGGACAGGCCTGGAAACAGATAGGAAACTAACAGAACAAAAGATCAGTGAGCTTAATGCCAGAAAAATAGAAACTACCCAAACTGAAACAAAAAGATGTTTTTAACCCTAAAAACAATAAGCAGAGCTTTAATGTTCTTTATAATTATATCAAATAGTCCAATATACATGTGACTTCACCTACCTAAAAGAATGAGAATAAAAAATTATTTGAAGAAATAATGACCAAAAACTTTCCAAATATGATGAAAACTCTGAACTCAGAAATCCATGAAGATCAGTGTACCCTAAACAAGTAAAAAACATGCATACCACTAAGGCACACCATAATCAAAGTCCTGAAAGTCAATGATGAATGCATCATTATCTATTTATGCCCTTAGCCCATTTTCTGATGGGATTGTTTTTTTTCTTGATAATTTGTTTGAGTTCCTTGCAGATCCTTGATTTTAGTCCTTTATCAAATGTATAGATTGTGAAGATTTTCTCCCACTCTGTGGGCTGTTTACTCTACTGACTGTTCCTTTTGCTGTGCAGAAGCTCTTTAATTTAATTAAGTCACACCTATTTATCTTTGTTTCTGTTGTATTTGCTTTTGGGTTTTCGGTCATTAAGTCTTTGCCTAAGCAATGTCTAGAAGGGTTTTCCTGTTGTTGTCTTCTAGAATTTTTATAGTTTTAGGTCTAGGTCTTAGATTTTAAGTCTTTGATCCATCTTGAGTTGATTTTTGTACAAAGTGAGAGATGAGGATCCAGTTTCATTCTCCTACATGTGGGTTGCCAATTATCCCAGCACCATTTGTTGAATAGGGTGTCCTTTCCCCACTTTACGTTTTTGTTTGCTTTGTCAAAGATCAGTTGGCTGTAAATGGATATAGTGAAAAGGGAACACTTCCACACTGCTGGTGGGAATTTAAACTAGTACAACAACTATGGAAAACAGCTTGGAGATTCCTTAAAGAGCCAAAAATAGAACTACCTTTCGATCCAGCAATCTCACTACTGGGTATCTACCCAGAGGAAAAGAAGTCATTATACAAAAAAGATACTTGCACACACATGTTTATGGAAGCATAATTTGCAGTTGCAAAAATATGGAACCAAATGCCCATCAATCGAGTGGATAAAGAAATTGTAGTATATATGGCATTCGC